GTGACAATAAAGAATGAGCTGCACGAACTACAAAATATCCCACGCCATATGGAGTCTATTGACGAACAGCTCCAGACAGCTATGGGCACCCTTGAAAATCTACGGCAAAATCCTAGCACTTCTACTGTGATATCACAAACTGTAAATACTCAGCTACTTCGTCTTAGGACCCTTCACAAGAATATCAGCGCAGCTGGGCGCTGTATTCCATCATCTCAAGATGACATTGCTATGAAGGTGCGTTCTGAAACACTAAGAAAGCGAGGATTATTTAATTTTGTTGGTCTCATTCAAAGCACCCTGTTTGGCACAGTGACTTCCGAGGATGAACCTAAATTGGGAGACTTTATGAATATTGTTAATCAAGTTGTACTTAAACAAAACCGAATTATAACTCAAACTTTCCATGCAATTAATTCTTTGGAGTCAAAGGTCAACGCGATATTTCTGAGTCTAACCTCTTATCTAAGATTGTTTAGAATTTAATGATTTCAGTACCTACACTGGAATGGCTTACTTCTTTTTTCTGAGTATTTGCATGCAGCGGAAACCTTTGTTCAAGCTTTATCTAATAACAAAGACACTCTAATTGCAAGTGTAGTGGATGCAGGGTTAGGACGTGTGGATGCACAGCTTGTGCCTGTGAAAAATCTTTTTGAGGTCTTACAGATAGCCAAGATGAGTTACCATTTAACTCCTATTTTCACAGATCAAGGGGTAGAATATTATTACCCTCCGTTTGAGTCAACTCTTACGCACAATGCTCTACTTATCCACATACCAATGTTAGCGCAATGCAAATTTAATGCATGGCATTTAGAACTTTTCCCATTGTATTCTAGTGACACATTGTTTACTCTGGACAGGCCAACCGAACATTTGCTAATAGATGAAGACTACTCCTTGTTAGCTGTGGATGATCCTAGGGTATTTTCACGGTGTAAATCGTCTTACCTACACTTACACGTATGTCCAGCCTATGCAGTCGCGTTAATTCTTGCTGCAGAAGGAATATGTGAATTGCCGATCATACAAACCAATGTTCGCACAGCACCGATTTCCAAGAAAACTGTTTCATGTACGTGTACATAATGTGTAATATTTTATTTTTCTCTGAAGAAACTAGTGTCATTTTACGGTGCCAGGATGGTTGTAAACATCTCGTTGTAAGAGGCTATTATAAGGCTCTGGACTACTGCAAAATAACCTGTCGTTTGTTGAAAACCTAGGCCTTCCCATCATCATTTTGCTTTGAACTTAAATCTAACTTCAGATTTGATTCCAATGTATCCGGCTCCTAATATGAATTTCAGTAAACTCAATATAGTGTCTGATAAATTAAAATTTATTTCTTATCTGAAGGAGTCACATTTTACTTATTTAGAAGATAATCTGCCATATTATTTTACACGGGGATTTGCTATACCTAGTTTAACAGTTCCCACCATTATTTTAATACTGTCAGTCATATTTTTCTTTTGTTATTATAAATCAATGTCATCTAACTTTGCCATTGTACATAAGATACTCTCCTGTAAGGCACTTCAGACTAGGGCTCCAGTAGCTGCTTAACCCCAGGTTGCAGCTTCTCCAGTTTAGTGTCTACACATATATACAAGTAACATTGGTAGGTATATGTATAGGGTTTTTCTGTGAGATTAGTTAATTCCTCGTGGAGCTTTAAAGGTGATGACCGAGCAATGTACTAGGTCCTGTCTAATATACAGTAGTACTTATATAAATATGGGCTAATACATCAGTTTTATATTATTCCACCACCCCGTAATTTTCCATGAGCAGTGAGTGATCACCTATTGAACATGTGATCAGTATTTCTCCACCCTCACGTTGCGTCTTTAAGAATGCTAGACAGACTAAGCAGTTGGGTAACAGGCTCTCGGGCAGTTATCACTCAACCCTCACAAAGCATAGACATTGACTCACAAGCTTCTTAGATAAGCTTACCGTCTATTTCCTTTAACACTCACAGCTTACAGTGTTAATTACGGTGATATCCTTGTTGACTGTGCAGAGTATATTTTGATAAATAAATGGAGAAAAGACCATTTGGGTTTTGCAAACTAAACCAAAAACATTTGTATATGTAGCTACTAAGTTACCTGTTATCAGTCAAGCTCAGGTGACCGGAAACGGCTACAAGCTGTTAGTCATCTAAATCAACTCAGCATTTGACTTGTCTGATTAAATTGTATTTACGACTTGTAAGGGAGCTAGAAAAAATTAATCAACTATTACACTAATAGTATACGTTCTCCTAATACACACACTTCCAAACAATCTTTTATGACTACCCCATACACTGGAAACGCTGAACACCTATGATTTCACTAGAAGTCATTGGCGTTATCTTTCTTTTCCTAACATATGCTTTACTCTGTTTCTTTGAAAATACCTTTGAACAGCTTTCAACAATTTCCTATTCATATGCATCTATTCTCTTAACTTTATTTTTTTTTCTGATCAGTAAATACCATAAACTCTCTACTTTTTATAGCTACGTTTCTTTCATACTTCTTTTAAGTAAATGCCATGTTACAATCTTCCTTTTATGTATGCTGAATCTACACTGACTATCCACTTTTATATTATTGTCTGCATCACAAATACTTCAATTTAACTTTACCATAAACATTCCCTACTACGCTTACCAAACTATGTTCTTTTTTATCTCTATGTTCCAATTTAATACTTTTACATGTTTCCTATTGTATACCCTGCCATCCTTAACATCTCACAGATGCTTCCATCCATTTTTGGCGTCTCACTATCATTAACCTTCACGTTCTCTCTCACCTTATACGTTTAGCAGGTGCTTATTATATTCAAGTCCCCATTGTATTTCCAAATATTTTTGTAATTATCCTCTTTTTGTTCCTAGTTACCATTTTCATTTGTATTTCCTTTACTTTTTTTTTCGTTTTTCTCTATTTGCGATCAAAAATCACCTGCAGTGGGCAGGCCTGATCATATGGCACAAATTTCATGCCTCTGCGTGCCTTGTAGACGAAGATATAATTTTATTTTTACCGTAAATATTATGCCGAGAATTCTACCGTGATGACGCTTGTTGTCGTTAGCTCTTAAACAAAAAAATTGTGATTCTGATCATTGTAAATATTAAAATTAACGACGGAGGCTATCTTCGGAGGTTTTATTACCATAAATGCTGGCGTGATTGTCTTTTGTTTTCAATATTATAGACTTCACTTTCATAGTTTCCTTGTTTATGGCTGTGCAAATTCCTTTTTTTTCTTTTTGCTCAATTGATTCTTGAACCTGTCCTATGTATAAAGAATTAGATTCGAATCCCATATTATGGGTTTGGATACATTTCCAATTCATTCGAGTAGCATTGGAGAGTAAGTGAACTGTAAGTTGATATACTGAATGTTTTTTACCTCATTAATCCAGGGGCTGAGGGCGTTCTGTGTACATAAGAGGTGCCTTAAGTTATCCTTCATATAATTTTGGTGAGAGGGCCACCTGGGGCATTATAATAATGAGGGTAGGCATTCTGAATCATGGCAGTAAGTGAGAAATCCACGGGTGTGTGCAAAATCCTATGCGTCAAAATTTGCCCAATATTAGGGGTATAGGAAATTGAAATCGACCTCACGCTGAAGGAAATCAATATATTTCAGCATATCATTACTAATAATGAAGCTTATTAAAGCTGCTTCATGATGAAATTAATGCAAATTTGACAGGATGATTTTCTAGGTCATTAACGTCATTAAGGGGTTGCCCAAAATTATTGACTTTGAAATCTAATAGCCAATTCTGAATAGGTTCTTAAAACACACAATGGGGAAGCTTTTAGAAAAGAAAGTTTACAAAAAACTACTCACTTTAACCCCTTGGTGGCAGTTTCAATTTTCATTGAAAATCCGAAAATGGCCATTATACCGTCATTTGGACCAATAGCAGTTTTAAACTACTGTAACTTTGAATAAATGAGCAAATTAATGACCTAGCATTATAGAAACAGTTAGAAAATACTTGTTTATGATCAAAATATACCATTTGATCCTCAATGTCAATTACAAAATCATCAGGGGTAAACTGAACATTTCTGGACACATTTCACGGTGTCAAAGACTTTGTTCATCCTGCCTTATGAGGAATTTCTACTTAGTGTCATCATACAATTAGTTTCCAAACAAAACAATGTAGTAAATACTCAGGCCAAGACGTCATCAATAAGATTGAAGTGTCCATCATAATCTTTGGACCGGTAGAACTAAATGTATCATGACTAGTAGGTTGTGGCACCTTTTTCTTCAGACATCTGGCAACTGCAATATCAACAACACGGGTACACAAATTGTCTAAAATGACACCGCTTTGTGGCACAAGTTGTACATTTGCACGGGGTGGGAAAGTCACCTGGAAGGATACCATAATAATCACAGCCAAACAACCTGCCATCATGTGTCCGACCATGCAAGCAATTTAATTGTAGAAAGGTTCCAAAAATGCCCTTAGAATGTGTCCTTTTGTGGCACGAATTGTGGGGGGTTAAGTCAATGATGGTCCTTTTACTATGATAGTAGAGCAACATGGTTGTGGTTATAGAGGATGAAGACCGTCTCCAAGAGAACATCTGTCAACATGGACTATTTGGCAGGACGTGCAAATATGTAAATAATACCGTGCCGCTTGAAGTAAATTGCTTTCATTGTGACCTGATATCAAAGTAATTTCTTTCTGCTCATTATGTCGGGGTAAGGTTCTGGTAGTTTAGATTGGTTAGGTTAGGTTTGGTTATGTTCTGTGCACTGTTGTTTCCATTTTAGTCTTCAGTATCATGCAAAACATCTCCAGAAATTTTGGTGCAGTTCCATAAAGTCCTTCGGGTGCTAACCGTCTCTTCCACCACTACCGACTTTTTAAAAATTCAATATGAAAAGAAACGGCATAACAATTAATCATCTCACTCCGCCAATTAATGGGTAGAGGAAAAGTTAGAGTTTACTTACCAACGAGAATAGCGGGAATTTTCTGGCCACACTCCTTCCTTATTTCCGGTATCCACACTTTACTTATGTTTTGGAAGGACACAGGATTCACGAGACTGAAGCACACCAGGAAGATATTTGTCTACGGGACAAGGAAAACATTAGTGATTCATGACAGAAATAAAGGTTATCGTGTCTGTGAGAGTATTGGCTAATATTGTACGACGCAACTTTTAGCTGTGAACTGAGAGCTGCAATGAAATTAAAAAAAAATATGCATCACTTTATACATCGCTTTATTAATTGGATAAAATAGCATATAGGCGAACAATCAGCTTTGGTGGCATAGAGGGAGGTACAAGTACAACGCACATAATTCAGAAAAAAATACATTTGTGGATCCGGTGGATCCGTAGCACGTAGAAAGTTCTTGCAGGCTTAATACAATGATATTGCTCTTAATAAAAAGTTCTTGGACATTAGGTTCCACTCGGCAGGTTCCTCAGCAACACCGACGACGACAAAGATCTGTCGGCACAGGTTTTCCGATGCTACTATGTCTTGTATCGATCAATTCCTTTCTGCAATAAATAGTTGAAATTCGGTTTGTGGACACTTAAAGCAAAGATATAGGAGTACAGGAGTCCAAATGCTACTGTGATCGCAGTCTATATTACCTTCCTACAGAAACATCTAAGAGCTTAGTAAATGATACTTATCACAACATATTTAATTTACGAAGCAAATCTCTTGCCATAGTTTGCAGTTGCTTATTCTGCAGGTGTCCAACCAAGCTAACGTAGTCGACAAAGATTAAGCCATAAAACTCTGTACCACCCATTCAATCAATCAGAATACCGTCCTCATATCTAAGGGTTGGTGACCACAGTCGGTCTGTTTTTACCAATTCTCAGAGGTTTTATATCTCTCTGGGGGCCTATTTTTTTTATTTAATTCATCAATCCCAGTCTCTGCCTTCCCCTGGCATTCCTACCCTCAAATTTTCCCTTTCCTAATTTTAATATCATATGATTTCTCATGAAGTTTTGCCAGTCCTAGTACCTCCTCATTTGTCTTCCAGTCAGTGTAACTTATTCTACAAGTTTAAAAAACCCCTAACCTCTTTGTGGTGTCTGATGTCCATGCTTCTGACCCAAACATCAATCCTGACCATATATAACCTTCCAGCAGCATTTTCTCTCAAATTGAAGGTACTGTAATATTATTGGGATTTGTTTCGCACATCTACCATCACAGCTAATATTACTTCCCCAAAATCACAAAAATTTTCCACTTGTTTAAGTTCCCTGTTGCCTATCATAATTTTTATTTCAGGATTGATTTCCAATTTGAAAACAACCATTATTTTCGTCTTTATAGCATTAACTCTTAACCCATATTCTTCATCTTTTTACACTAATATATTAACCATTTTTTTAATAATGCCTCTTCACTATCTGTGGCAAAAGCAGTATCCTCTGCATAGCGTTTATTTGATATTATTTTATCATTAACTGAAATTCTTTTATTGTTAATTAGAACTTCTCTCATTATGAATTCTGGATATATATTATACGATGATAAAGAAAGAACGCAGCCTTATCTTATTATCAAACCAAATATAGATTCTCTTGTTTATTTTCCCTTTCTAAATACAATTTGATATTCAGATAAAAACTGTTTATTCTAAATGTTATTCTACTCAAACATATGTTTAATAAAACTTTGCAATGGCATGACTTATTAAGCTAATTGTTCTAAACTGAGTGCACTCTAAGGCCCCTGACTTTTAGATAATAATACAAATAAATTTTTTTTTAAATCACTGGGAAGTTTTCATTCTTGTCCATTTGTGTTATATATTCTGCTGGAAGCTGATCAACCCCACAAGACTTACCATTTTTCGTTTTGCTCATAGCTGCTTTGACTTTTGTTTCCAGAATTGAAAGTTTGACTTTTATACCCCTTTCGTTTCTTACCTTCACTCTATCCTTATCATTGTATAGTTATTCTACATATTTTGCCTATCTTTCTTTTACTTCTTCTGCCTCAAACAGGATCTTTTTCTCTTTACTTTTAATAATCCCACCCCATTTTTTTTTTTTATTTTTTTAATATTTCTGTACATTTCCCTATAGTTATGTCTTCTCTAACATCATTTCTTGGTGATTTTTATAATGTTGTCCTTATTCGTCTTCATCAATAACGATTTTTTTTTCGCTTTCAACTTCATATTCTATCCCTACCCCAACAATGAGCTCACCTAGTTCCCATTTGATTTTGTCCATTGCTTTTAATTTAAATTTTTGAAGATTTAGTTTAACTAAACTCAATAAAGGGATGTGGTCTGATCCACAATATTCCGCTGTACAGGTCTTCTTCGGGTTTTGAATTTCTGAATGTGTTTTTTTAATTAAAATGTAACCCATTTGAATCCTTACAATGAGATTTAAATTGTCCTGAGGTGAGATCCATGTATAGCTATCTATAGGGTGTTATTTATGCAATGTGTTTGCAATTCTCATCTTGTATTCTTTACAAAATTAAATTAAAATATTTTCTCTCTTATTTTTATTACCCAACCCACGTGTTCCTACTTCTGGTGCTTATTTCCCTTCCCAACGTCTGTGTTAAAATTGCCCGTTATAATGAAAAGCTTATTAAACTTTACGGTGGTTTTTGCTTTCTTTAGATTTTCATATTTTTTATTTTCTTTCATCTTCACTACCATTTGTTGGTGCATAAACCTATATTATTACCAGGTCTATGGGTTGAGCATTAAATGTCACTAACAAAACTCTATCTGATACTGTCCAATATTCCTTTACACTACTGCTCAATTTCTGGTTTACAGGAATACCCACACATCTCATGCTTTTCACCACTTGAATATATGAAGTAAAAACCGTCCCCATTAGTGCTATTTGAACCTGTTTACCTTACTTCACTTAATCCCAGAATGTCCCACTGCCGTCTTTTCATTTCCCTACAAACATTTCCAAACTTACCAGCCTTATGTAAGATCCTCGCATTCCGTATTCCTATTTTGATTTGTAATGGTTCAATCTTAAATTTCCTTTAGTTCCTTTTAATGTGCAAGGCGTTATTTTGCTTGGACAGTACTTGCTAGCTCTCGGTGGCACACTGCCTCTAAGTACAGGGAGCAATGCAGTTGGACTTCTAGGTGATGATGCTCCAACAGGAACTTCCGAAAATTGTATATTTTATCTTTCCATGGTTGTTTAATGGCAAGAGATGAAATTGATGAGAATGAATGTCCCAAACCTTTCCTCGTCAGAACACTATTTAAGGAAAGGTGAAAAAGTATGGAATGAACTATGGGGTAATTGGGGTATAGAGGTCGCTCATTGCACACTCTGGTAAAAAACCATCCCATCTCCTGCGCAGACAGTAAACTTGTATGTTTAGCCACTATCCACTTCCAACCTTCTCATTTAAGGTTAGAAACTGGGAACTTTATACCCATCTCGCAAATCCGGCCACTACATGGAGGTGTACACCTTGTGGAGGGAAAGTAATTGTACACATAAAAATAATTTGGAAAATATGTAAAGGTCAGGTCGCCTGATAATATTTAAATGATATGTAAGGTACAGACTAAATTATACCAGAAAGTTAACTGAAATCATAAAGTGGTATCTTAACTCAAAAAGTGATTTCAGTGTGTATTATCGAGACACGATTAATTTAGTACACCTATTTTGAAATAATAGATTTGAAAATGTTTTTATAATAGGGAAAAATATTTCATTGCTATTTAAATCTTTAAACAAATACAGATATATTGCTTAAGGTCATATTCCATATTCTTCTTCGTTCCTTCTGTAAATAACAACAAAAAGTACTCTTGGGTTACCACACATAGTCTCGCGTCACTGACAGTCACTGTAGACGTTTGTCGTGGCAACGAGAACTGGTAAGCGTGACTTGAATTAACCATTTAGGTGCAATAGGCCAGCCTGGATTGCTTTTGTCGCAACCAGGCTTCCACACGTGATATTTCCACGGGGATAACAAACCTAGATTAACACACTTAGTCTCGTGTCGATCATGGTCCACAGGACGGAGTGGCGGTGGAGGACTCTGTGCAGTGTGGTGTCCCGCTCCCTTTCAGGAGGGAGAGGATGGGAACGACTTCTTATCTAACCCATGGCTCAGGGGATACTACTTAAAATGAGGTTTTTGGGTTTGAAGCGATGAACAGTACAACACTGTTTCACTGCCCACCCCCTAAAGGCCGGCTAACATACACTAATTGAAAAATACATGTCCCAGTTATGCCTCGCCGGGCGTCTTATCTCTAGTAAAACAAACTTTGGAGTTAATTGCGTGGGTAAGCCTAACGCAACCCATGACAATCGCCCCTACTAAGAAAAATTTTTCTTCGGAGAATAAAAATTTCAGCACCTGTATACAATCAAGAGAAATGCCTAGCCCAGACACACAATTCAACATTCACACTGTGGTGTGTGTGTGTGACACTAACACTGCAACGGGATGCAGTCGCCAATCGCCACTGAGAGAAAACCTCAACATTTACTTTAGATTTTCAGGCTGGAGGAAAACTACGAGGCGAGGGTGACAATTCCCGAGCTATAGTTCATGCTAAGCGTAAACACGCTACATTTATGTTACAGCAACGTGTTGTGTAGTGTAGGGTATGTTGACATTGTTTAGGTGGTGCAGGTGTCGTGTAATGTTCTCAAGTGTAGAGAGGTGTGAAAAGGTTTACATAACATTTGAAGAGTCGTCAGATGCGTGGAGGTTTGAGTTGACCGGAACATACGGACACTCCCACACATAGGTCAGGTCCTAGACTCGCTCTGCAATGTCGAATGAACTTCCCCCGGTGGTGAAGAGAAGGACTCCTTCAGCCGGCTGATGTGGAACTGGGTCCCTCCGTTGATGAGGACCCCCAAAAGTGTGGAGGTACTCTTCCCGTCACTCACCCTTGGGTGTGCAGTCCACCGCCTCGTACTGAATCAGCTGGCTGATGTGGAACTGGGTTTTCTAACCACAATGTCCGCCGCCACCCTCTCAAGGGTTCGGGGATCACTGTGAGAGGCCACAGGGGTGCAGGTAGAACTCGCCCTCCGTCGCTGGTTCTGGCAAACATCACAA